GCATTGTTTGATGGATGTGATGATTATTTCCCCATGTGATCGACGCTGAACATACTGTGCGATCTTTCTCTTTAGAGAAACCAAGCCAATTAATCTGATCCATTATGTATGTTTTAGAATGTTCATCTTAGAATTGATATTTGTTTCAGAAGCGCATTTGTCTTTCTCATGCGAAGCTATTCATGAGAGGTGTGTTGTTGAATTTTGACTCTTTATGTTTTAGAAGCGGTAGCATTTGTCTTTGAACAATTATTGGAAACTCCATGGATTTTATAATTTGTTATTAAAATTAATTAATGCGAACACGGTTTTGTTAATTTTTTGTAGGAATTTGGTGTTTATTAATACATTGTATAATGATTTGTTTCATCGTATGATGGATGTGATGATTATTTCCCCAGGTGATCGACGCTGAACATACTGTGCGATCTTTCTCTTTAGAGAAACCAAGCCAATAAATCTGATCCATTATTGTATGTTTTAGTATCCTCCTCTTAGAATTTATATTTGTTTTAAAAGTGCATTTGTCTTTTTGATGTGCATTTATTCATGACCGTGTGTTTTTGAATTTTTAATGGTATTTGTTTTAGAAGCGGTTGCATTTGCCTTCGAACAATTATTGGAAACTTCATGGATTATATGATTTCTGATTAAATTTTATGAATTAGCTAGTTATATTTGGCATTAAAATTGCACTGCAAGATGGAAGTGATGATTATTTCCCCAGATGATCGAAGCTGAATATACTGTGCGATTTTTCTCTTTAGAGAAACCAAGCCAATAAATCTGATCCATCTTTGCATATTTTCAATTTGATCTTCTCTTTGAATAGTATATGTTCAGATTTCATATTTTCATAGCAATTGTGTCTTTTCTTTTTGCCTAGATTTAATAGGGATTTGTGAATACCTTTTTAATTGTAGATTCCTGATAAATTATGTTGGAGAATTGATGAAGGGTGTATTTTGTATTTGGATATTCCCATCTTTTCTAAAGGTTATTCTCCAGATAACAATTAACAGGAGTTTAATGCTTGTGCTGCTTGTATGTGGATTGCAAGTTTGGCTCTTCTGTTACATACATACCAATGTACCAATTTGAAATCTCTGCACCAGTTTGCAATTTGACTGTGGATTGACTGGATTTTTAAGTTGGGTTTTTGTGGAAGGGATGTCGGCTGCGGCCTCCTAATCTATCAATAATATTTTCCTCGAACGAACATACACAAATGCAGTCCAGCAGTTGCTTTCTGTCGAACTGTAACTGACAAAAGTTTGCTTACCCATTGACATTGACATAAGCTTGCAACAGATTGACACTAAGACTTTCACATTAAAAGTAAATTTATATCAAAACAAAAAAAGTTGTTACTTCATAATAAGGGAACACCATTCGTTACGTTACATAAGACATTTTTAAACAGAATCAATCTTTCATGATAAGGATAAGACAAACTTATTAATGACTTGAACTTATTCTCCCAATTAATTTTTACAACACATTATTTGTATAATAAAGTGCCAAGTAAAAATTGATGGTAATGAGATAGTCGTAAGTTATATAATAAACTAACTGCTGTTTAAATCAGTGAGCCAGATCTTTTAACTTCTTCCAAGTTGGCCTGTTTGAAATTTTCTGCCACCATGCATAGACATTCTTCCTCTCAGTTACCAAGTGGCCAAGTTTGGCTTCCTCAATAAGATGTCCAAGCCCTGGAAGGTGGCTGAGATCAGCCAAAGAGAAAAAATCTCCTGCAAGGTATGAGCTTTGAGAGAGCCTACTTTCATACACATCAAGGACCTTCACTAAATCTTTCTCACTTATGTCTGCCAAGACCAAGTTCCCAACCTTACCCATCCTTGGTAGGATCACACGCTGAAACATTATAGTGAAACATAAATTATTAAAGTTGTGTGCTTCTACTTCAAGCCACTGCTCCACCAAAGCCCTTTCCTCTAAGGTTTTACCCATTAGCTCACTACCACGATCTGCATATTTTGTTGCATA